CCGTTGCCCGCACCGCACCGGCCTCCCCACTTCCACGCGAACGGCGCAGGCGCGGCACCGCACAGGCTGCCGGGGTTTGTAGTTCCCGTCGCCTAAAGACCCGACCTCTGGGAATACGCGGCAGGGACCTTCCCAGAACTACGTGTCCCATCATGCAGCGCGGCGTGCGGAGAGGCGAAGGGGAGGGGGACGCGGGCGGGGTTGCTTCGCAGTGGTGCTTGGGGAATGTAGTGTGGTGCGTTGCCCTCCGGGCGGGACGTGAGAGGAAGGGTTGGGCCGCAGAGCCGAAAGGGACACACTTCCTCAAACGCGTTGTGCCGGCGGTTTGTTGTGCTTCCTGTTTGCCTGGGTGGGGGAAGGGCGCCTGTGCCGCGAGAGCGGCGCGTGCGCACCATGACGTCATTTCCCCTCAGCGTCGCTGGGCCTGGCGCAGCTGGCTCCGTCCCTCTCCCTGCCCTTGTCCTCCACGTGTTGTCCCTCCTGTCCCCGCCTTACTCGGGGTGGGCTGCGACTGCCTCGGGCTGGACTGTAGCTTTGCTTAGAGGCCTGGACAGGGATGAGCCTGCCCCAGACAGGGAGCTGGGCTAGGTCCCTGGTGCATCCCGCGGGCTCGTGGTGCCCAGAGCAGGTGCAGCAGGGCCCCATCTGGCAGCTCAGCCCAGCCCCAATGCACCTGTGTGGGGGAAGGGGGCTTGGGGAGGCATGATCCAGTACCTTGGGGGAGATGGATGTGGCTCAGCCCAAACTGGGGGGAAAGGGCAGGCCAGGAGGGAGGGGTGTGGCATGTCCCCAGTCTGATCCAGTGAGAGGCAAGGGACCAGGCCCAGCCCTGCATGGGGAGAGGAGACTGGCTTGGATTTGTGGTGGGGGGGTGAAAGGGGAAGGGCAGGTCCTGAACCATCTGTGCTATGGGAGGGGAGGTGGCCTGGCCCTGTGGGAAGAGGGTCGTGGTTCAGCTCCAACCCACTGCACCAAGCTTGGGATTTTGTCAGGGAGAGATGGCAGCACTGTCACTGCTCCTCTACCGCCAAATTTCCCAACCCTTGGGAGGTCCTGTGAGCCAGATTGCACGGCTCCATGGGCGGCATCTGGCCTGCAAGCCAGAGGTTGACTGCTCCTAGATTAGATGATCCTGGGAGGTCCCTTCTAGCCCTACTGGCTAGGGACATTTATACACATGTTCCAGTAGTGGGGGGGAAGGGGGTGCTTTAATTAGAGCCGCTCTAATTAAAGTGCCCGGAGGGTCTCATGTATCAGCGTTTCTGTGCTCAAAAATAACGGCAGAGTTGCTTTAACTAAAGCTTGTTCAATGCTGCTTTACTTAAAGCGCCCCTGCCACCATTTTTAAGTGCAGGGACACTGATACACAAGATGCTAGAATCTGCTGGAGCATGATAATTACCATGCTTCAGCGGACCAGATAAATAGAGCCTGCTCCAGCCTCACTGCTCGTGTATAGGTGCACTGTGATTCATTTCCCACAAACTCACCCAAGCCAGACATCCTCTTTGGTGATCTCTGTATAAGACATGATAATAGAAAAGGTACAAATTCTGATCAGGCTTCTCAGCAGGGGTAGAGCTCTTGAATTCATTTTTGTGAGTCTGTGAAATCTACTTCAGATGTTGATAAAACATTGACACAGTTGGCATTTAAAAGGCAAAGACTTAGGTGAGTAATACATAAGCAGGGTTCCCCAGTATGTGTTGTATTCATTTTTTTAAAGATAAAAACAACAGCAGCACGTAAAGTAGGCTCCTGACCTGTCTGAAGTCAGTGGGAGCTGTGAGTACTTGCTCCCCTGAAGATTCGATTCTTAGCTTAACTACTGCAGATACAGGAGGTGGTGACATTTCCACTGCAAATAACATAGTCTCACTATTACTTTTTTTTTTTTTACTCCCAACCTCCTAAACTTAAATCAGCTTTTTTTACTCCCAACCTCCTAAACTTAAAGCAGCAGGAAAATGTCACAAGATGGAAGCGTTCTAATATTAAAAAAGCCTAAGTCTGTCTGTCTGTCTGTCCATCCGTAATGCTTTATTCACACTCTGATTGGCTGACAAACAGCCAATCGGAGTGTGAAAAATTGTTCCAACAAGAGCTGGCAGCAGTGGAGCATCGCAACGATGATGGGGACACAGGGACAGAGGGTGGGGGAGCTGCTGGCCTCAGCTCCCCCACCCCGCTCCCTGCAAGAGGCAGAACAGCAGTAGCATGGGTCGTTAGGTGGCAGCACTCCATCCCCCCACCTTGCCCCCCCACTTCATTCTTGATGGGCAATTGGCTACTAATTAATAATTAGCATGTATGCAGCTCAAAGTTCTGTTCAAACATCCCCACAAACCAATTCCCAGAAGGTATTTGGATCATTTATTAAATTATGTTTGAACAGCAGTTGGTTCAGAAATTCCCAAGCTCTAGTTCTGTTTCTAATATTGGCCCACTGGATTACTTGACAGCATCCCTTAACCTTACCATTTCTCAATTTTCTCATCTGAAACAATGGGATAATTGTGCTCAGCAATGTAGGATTTAGTCTTAAGATTCTCAGCAATCTTCAGTCCATGGTCTTACATATTTATATGTAAATAACTTCCAGTAGTAAAAATGAAGTAGATTCTGTTATTATTCAATACATTTGGGCTAAGATTAAGATAATTAAGAAATATGTTTTGCAACAAAGCAGCTGTTTTAGAATAATCACTGGCAGCTATTTTAAGCAAGCCATCCTTTATTGAAACCAAACTGTATGTATTCAGGATGATCAGTAGGTCCACTCTAGATAATCACAGTGTTCCCTTCTGATTATGAAATATGACCATATCATGAGTAGTCCTGAAGGTCTGTTTATTTATATGAGGGTTTATGCCATATGGGCCCCACGCACTAGAAATTAGTTAAGGGTCTGGGACATGAAACGTTAAGGCTGCAAGGTTTTATCTTGTAATGGTATATATGCAGACAGTCCTGCACCTGGCCAGGTTTCACAAGGGTGTGGAAGTGAAAAAAACCAAAACAAACATCAAAACCCAACCCATCCATGTACACTGTGATGCTGTACAGGGCACGTAACTTGTGGCTTATGTTCTAATTAGTTTCTGAAGTCTGAAATGGCATACAGGACACTGATACATGTGATGCTTCAGGCACTTTAATTAGAGCGCTCTAAGAGCTGCTCTTATTAAAGTGCACCTGCCTGCTCCTGGAGTGCATGTATAAATGTCCACAAATGGTACACGACCCTAGAGACATAGTTGCATGAGTGCTCCTGATTTCTACAGATTTAATTTGCCACACTTCATTTCAGCTTCCAGACAAGCTTCTCTTTTAGAGTGGTAGACAAATTGTTTGCACTGTATCTAGCCGTTGGATCAAAATGACACAGGATAGAGGACAGAAAGAAAAAAGACAAAGTAATTGAATTGATTCCAGTTTTGGAACCTGGAGTTTTTCCCGTGGAATTTTTTGATTATTGGATGCAATGTAGAAACCCTTTTAAGTTTTTCTCTTTGATTTCTTTTTCAGTTCTTTGTGAGACATGATTCCTGCCTTTTCCCATTACTGAAATTACTTTCCTTTATAGGCACTGGTCTATATAAAGGGTAACGTTCCCATAGCTCAAATTATAACCCTGCAGATCACCGTGTGTGGAGAGGTAGAGATACAATATGGTTGCATTGATAGAATTTGCTTTTCTGGTTTTCTTTCATAAAATTGATATAATACACAGTATCAAATAAAGCATTTTTTGAAGATGTAATGTTTAAAAAATCATCATCATGTCAAGTAGGGTCTTGCATGCAAATGAATAAAGGTATGCTGCATATCAGGCATTTGTTAGGTGTTTTCATTTCTGGAATAGTTTTGGAGGTTGAAAGAGATGAAAGATGAGATGGATTCTTATTCCCTTCAACTACCTTCACCAATTCGTATTTACCTACGTGATGGTGTGGGAAGTAGCAGTGCAAGATACATAACCCCATCTATGTGTTTTATACCACATTTGACATGACTGCCATAAAGGATGAAAGGATAGTTTAGTGCAAGGGGAGGGAACCCCTGGCACGCATGCCAGGGTGTGACGCACATATGCCTCAGGGCAGATGGCAGGGAAGTGGCTGGGACTGTGCTGCCACAACAAGGATTGGGGCCCTTGCAGCTCCCCTGCCATCCTCTCCTGGCACGCCGAGATCTTATAAATCGAGGTTGTGGGTATTTTTGGCACTCTGCCCAAAAATGTTGCTGACCCCTGGTTTAGTGTATGCATATTCAGTCTTTGTATATATAACAAACTAGAACAAGGAATTTCTTTGTTGCAGCATTGAGAAAGGTCCCTCGGGTAACAAAATCTGATTGATTCCTTAGAGGCAAGTGTTATGGGAAACTGAGTGCCTATCTTATTATTAGACTTCCTGGATAAGTGTAAAGACAAGTCCTATGAGAGATCACAGCAGTAGTCACGCCATTCTCAGCAGAAAGCTTAGGAAGAACATCACAGTTAGGAAATGTAACATTACTGTTCAATACACCTTATACCTGAATATCACACTTATTAAAATTTTTAATTTTGTTCTTGATAGCTCAAAAAAGTGATTAATTATCAGTAGTAGGATATGTCCTAGCTTGTGGTATGTGGGAGAGAAGGAAAAAAAAACTTTTTTCCTGAGCAGCATCAGACAAGACTGACTGAATAAGTTATCCCTCCATCCTGCAGGCCCTGAAAGCAAAACTTAAGATTCAGTCCGATTCCCATGTCACC